CGCCCGCTGCACCGCCAGTGGTTCTTCTTTGAATACGTTTGCTGTTTTTGCTGCTAGCTGCTGCTGCTGCACCCTGCAACCTACTCCCCACACTCTGTGTCTGCTTAGACAACGCAGACGCCCGCAGCTCCTCAACAGCTCGCTGCAGCTCTGGGTTCTTCTGCAGGTCTGCTTGTACTTGATCTAGAACCATACGAATAAAATTATTGCTGCTGCTGCTGCTGCTGCTGCTGCTGCTGCTGCTGCTGCTGTTTCTGCTGCTGTGGGCTCGACGGCCTGTCTGCTGCTCTTTCTGCTGGTTACCGCTGCTGCTGCTGCTGCTGCTGCTGTTGCTGCTGCTGCTGCTGAAAAAACGAGAGAACGGTGCAACGCTTGAACGGCGAAGCAGCAGCAGATGTTGCTGCTGCTGCTGCTGCTGCTGCTGCTGCAGCAGCAGCTGCTGCTGCTGCAGCATACATCGTGGGAACACGCTGCTGTCCGCCAGGGCTCTACTAGCGGCCCGGCGAGCTGCTGCGGGTAAACCCCCATACATCTTCACGAGCCGTAAACCCTAAACCCTAAACCCTAAACCCTAAACCCTAAACCCTAGGCGCATCTGCTGCAAACCCTGCGCTACCTGCGGCCACACTACGTTTCAGGAGGAAGCCGCCAGCTCCCCCCTTATAAAAGATATACTAAAACCCTAAACCCTAAACCCTAAACCCTAAACCCTAAACCCTAAACCCTAAACCCTAAGCATCGAGCCTGTGGAGGGGCAGCCTGCTGCCATCGCTTTCAGGCTAATAAAGGCGGTTACTACTGCAAACCCTAAACCCTAAACCCTAAACCCTAAATATTTTATAGTAATGTTAAACCCTAAACCCTAAACCCTCAAGAAGATCAGATCCTGTGGGGCTTTGCATCGGGGCTGACTGTTGCTATGCCTCACCGCCTAGGGTTTAGGGTTTAGGGTTTAGGGTTTAGGGTTTAGGGTTTAGAGAGTGCGCCTTCCTATAGAATAAAATATTTTTTTGTGTAAATATATTAAATAAAGTTTTATTTATTATATTTACACCCAAGTTATAATTCAGAAAGCCATCTGCTGCTGCTGCTGCTGCTGTCTGTGTTGCAGCTATGTGCTTCCTAGAGAAAAAGTTTGTTTCTCTTTCCCTTTGTCTAGCTAGCTATCTAGCTAGCTATCTAGCTAGCTATCTAGCTAGCTAGCTAGCGAGCTAACACCTAGAGATTCATACAACATATGCTGCATGCGGTCTCTACAGTGTAACCCTAAACCCTAAACCCTAAACCCTAAACCCTAAACCCTAGCCCAAAATACTAAACCCTACACCCAGAGTAATCAACCTGATATAAATATTGCTGCAATCCAATCAAAAGAAAAATAACATATACTGAACAGCTGCTGGTGACCCCCCCGCCCCCCCCCAGCTGCAGCAGCTGCAGCAACACCTGCTGCAACCCATGGGGAGGCGGATCCCGCATGGGTTGCAGCAGGTGTT